TATTTAAATAGTAAAAGACTCAATGAAAGACTACCATTGGACATGCTCTAAAGTTTTGGCTGTTCGTAGAAGCTGTCATGGCATTAGTGTGGCTGAAAGCATACCCACAACCAAAGCTCGTTAATTTCTTCATGACTTTCGATTTGGCTTCTCGTTCGCTTTGCCAATATTTCTTGAGATGAAGTGTTTAATGAAATGATTTTAGAGGCTACACTAATATTTATGTACACTCATAGAACATTCTACTAGGGTAGTAAAAGAAGTTGAGAGTCAGTAAGAGGGATCATAGGCAGGGCCGAACGTGAACACAACGACATGAAACATGGGTCTTGGGCTCGCGATTTTTCTTTTGAGTTAATATACACAAAATTTGCCTCCAAATAAAAAAAAATAAATTCTATTGAGTTGTCTTTGTTGTCCAAACCCGAAAATCTACTTTTTACAATGCAGCCACAAGTTATGATTGACAGGTTTTCCAAAGACTAGATTTGAATATGTTCACAACCAAGGACATCAACAAGTATAGGAGATGGTATACGTTCAGGCAATTCAATGGAAATACCTATATTGGTTCTTGCATAGTGGCTGAAACTAACCAAAAGTTCCCAATTGCTCTTTACAACAATGATGAATATATTCTTCTCTCATATTTTCAAATTTGAGGCATTCTCTCTAGATTCTTACATTCGTTTATTCGCATTGGTGCTAGTTGATCATATGTTAGATATCTACAGCTTTACCCACATTTTCAAAGGGGGAAAACAACATATAAAAGAAACACTTCATTGCAAGAATTTAGGAATCATGAAAGAAACAAGTCAAGATGAATATATGGTGGGAACCTTTATAAATATTTCTTCTTAATTTTGTCACATCATTTTCTTTTAGCTACCTCAAAGCATGTAAAACTGACTAGGGACAATGCATGATCATGCCAAGAGCCAGAAATTCTTATGAGTCTTGGTGTTTAGAACATAGCCTCCATTTTGACCTTTCTTTTGTACACCAACACAAGTGCATTTGTTGTTCTCGATTAGATATTCCGCTGTGTCTACTCCTTTTGATCCTCTTAGAGATCCTCCAGGCCGCCTCGTTCTGTCAAATCCAAACCATCCTCATATCATTCTATGTTCTACATAACTCTCACAAATATATCTTATGACTCTTTTTATATACATCATCTAAGCTAAATCTAAACAAAGATTTTGGGCTACCAAACTTTTTTTATTTACTTTGAGGAATTTGGTTTTTTCAAGTATCAATGGTATATCTTTAGGGCCACTTTTAATAATGAACACAAAATATATAATACAATTTTACATATATTTTAAGCTACTATATTTTAAGTTTTAGTATAATAAATATGGATTGAAGCACAATATTTTTCTTTTATTGGACCGGTCATATCCAGAGAGAGAGAGAGAAACATACTCTAGAAGGGAGGATGAGAATTATTGGCCTATGATGATAACATCGACTCCAAGTTTGTCTCCATGCCATGTAGAAGAATAGTCGTAGCTTTGACAGTTTCCATGGTTATACATTCGGTGTGCACACGCACATTTGACTGCGCGATTTCGCATATCCATTTCATTTGTTCAAGAAAATTCCCTTCTCCTTGACCAATCGAGAGGCCAAGGAAGAAGTAGCGGTTACAGTTGCGGCAGCGTTTGCGTTTGCAGCGGCCGGAGAGGAGTCGCTGCT